TATTATCAGATGAAGAGCACATGCTCATTTCCTCATTATTCTCTCATTTTCGTCGTGAATGATGAGGGAAGGAACTAAAACTTACTCGGCGAACTAGATCAAGGCAGAGATGACGCTTGATATCTCGACCGAGATCAAGGGGAAGGCCTTTAAGAATAGCTTCTTCATCAACTCCACGAGTTGTAACCCATTTAAATAAATCATACCTGCGCACTCTCTCCCTTAACTCATGGGGCAGCTGCCTGTGATGCATCCATTCTTCTGTATCAGTTCTCTTAACCCTCCACTCTTCTATTCGTACAGTAGTGGACTGAAGGTATGTCTATTAATAGAGAAAGAAAACAGCTGAACATTGTGGCCTTTCCGGAAATTGCATGTTTGTTTAGTTTTTTTGCTCTCCACATTTTGAAAAAAAAATGACATTTGAGTCAAAAATAAATAAATAAATAAAAAATAAATTTAACTTATTTTCAGAGTATTTTTTGAAAATAAGAAAAATAATTTTGAATTTTAATGAAGTCTGCCCTTTGAGTCTCCTTACCAACAAATTTCTTCATTCATATATATATTTTTTTTACTTCTTTCTCTCTCTCATAATATATAATATATATTATAATATATTATATTATATAATATATATTATATAATATAATATATATTATATAATATAATATGCTATATAAAATTTTATATTATATATTATTATAATATATTATAATATATATTTATATTATATATTATTATAATATATATTTATATATTAATATATATTATATAATATAATATAATATATATATTATATTATTATATATATATATATATATATATATATACATATAAGTATATACACTTATATACTTATATATATTATGAAATTGTTAATATAAAAATAAATTTTTTATATTTTTTTATTAATGTTTGAATTACTGTTCAAATATATATTTAGACTGTCCAAACAGATTTTACTATTTTCTGTATTATAAAATTATTTTTGAAATCATATAACAAAACAAGTTTTTTATCTCAAAAAATATCAAAACCACTTTCGTAAAACTTTTCTCAAAAACTGTTTTCAGATACTAATTTTTGAAACGCAAACTAAATAGGCCCTATGTTTTCGTTTTTTGTTTTTATTTTGATATTTAGAGAAAATAAGAAAAAAAAACTTGTTTGATAACCGTTTTTATTTTTTTTTTCTGTCATCGTTTTGTAAACGAGAGGGATTTTCAAAAATGAGAAAAAGATGTTTTTCGTTTTTTGATTATGTTTTTCGTTTTTTAGAAAATCAAAAATCGTAAACGTTACCAAACGAGCCCGAAAGAATCCTAATTCAAAATTAGAAATTATTCTTTTCCCTCCAAATAGTCTTCAACTTCCACCCATGTAGAAGGTGGAACAAGCTTTTTGCAATGAAATTAACTTGACAAATAAATACTTCAAATTTTCTGGTTTGAACGATTAGTTAGAATTCATTTGCTCAATATTTAGTGAAAAGTAAAACAGCGACACTTGCACAGATATAACTACAGCTTGTTAGATTACTAAAGATGTGCAAACCTTACATCATAACACTATTCCTATTGCTAAACTTACTTGTAGATTCCCAATAAGCAATGCAAACAGCACCAACCCAACAATTGCAATGATGATGGCAAAACTATTTTCTCCATAATAGGTGCTTGTGGCGAGGTCCTGCCCTACAGAGCTGCATAAATCAATACGAATGACGAAGTAGTTAATTTTAAATATATCAAAGAAGATGCCTTCATCTGCAGAGTGGAGAACTAAGTGCAAAAACTAAACTAGGCATAAATTTGCAGATTCATCTGTTTTTGATTAAATAGCAGACAGACGTTTTTAGTTGTAAGGTTTTAGTTGTAAGGTCAAAGTTATATGTACTTTTTTTTCAAGTTCGGCCACTAGTTTAACGAACTTGTTCTTCACCTCCATTCAAAAGGATGAATGGTGCTCTAAATTGCCACAAAAAATAAATCGGAATGGTTTCATTTTTCAATGGGGCTCTAGCTGCTCTGCTCCATTTGGTATAATGAAATGATGAAAAGTTGGAAGGATGGATAAAAATCAATCAATCCCTCCAAAATTAGGCGGAAAAGAAAGAAAAATGGCACTCACGTTGGATAAAAATATGTTATTTACTTTTTTAACCTTTAACTAATTACTTATTTACATTAAACACCTAAATCCAAACTCATATACCAATCGGTGGAATTACATTATATTTTAACACTGTGTATATGTGTTTGTATACTAGTGTGTTTATTTTTTATTTAAAAATCAAATAAAAAAATAGATGTATTTTTATGTAATTTGTGTTTATTAAAACACATGACACACATACCATAGTGATATGGTGTATAATATATACACTAATCTCATATAAGGAAAAAATAGTAAATTATGTATGTATATTGTATCTATACTTCTATTTTTTTCATCAATACCAAACACAAAAAAATTAATCATTTCTATTTTCCTTCCATCCTATCAAACGCAAAGGAAAAAAAATGTATCATTCCTACTTTCTTGTTTTTAGAGGATAAAAAGTGCGTCCCTCCTACTTTTCAATGCGTCCCTCCTACTTTCCATCATTTCTTCCAAATGGAAGGTTAGTTACCTTAAGCTCCTTAGACCCCACCAGAGACAATAGAAGTACTTGTTGAAGAATTTTGATGATGTAACTTCACATGTCAATGCGTCTTCATAAATTCCATACTGGAAATCACCCGCAGGGCCACATATTGCTGAAATTTTGCTTGATTTGAACCAAGCTGCTCTATTAGAAGCATACATGGTACGACAGTCAAAATACCAATACTGGCAATTTGGATGTTCATTATTACAAACTTCTTTCCAACAATGTTCCTGCCGCTCAATCGCCAAAAGGTACCAACAGGAACCAATAACCTTCACGAAAGTGAGTGAAATTAATGACCAATTTTTCTTGAAGAATCACACTGTCAGCTATGAGTATGTGCGTCTCTGTGTGTGTGTGTGTGTGTGAGAGAGAGAGAGAGA